GAATTAGAAAATGTTTTTATCTTATAAAAATACAGATTTTCTTCTGAAACTTTATAATTGTTAAACGTTATTGATGAGTCTTTGAATACAGACCAACAGAAGTATTTCCCCTTTAATATAAATATTTAAGTTGACAAACTGACTTTTTCGGTGTTTCTAGAATAATGTCGGTTTTTTTCGGGAAAAATACATTATTAAAATCTAATTTAATTAAAATAGCATTTCCTGCAAAATATCAATACAAAAAAAATAGGAAGGTTTAATAAACACATATACGGTTTAGAAACACAAAGATATAATTTTGGGACAAAATATTCTGTTCCAATACTTACGTAACGTCACAATTCTCAATTCTAGTTTTCCAAGTTTTCGTTTTAAATTATTCAAATTTAAATAATTCTATCAAACAACCATAATTAAAAACGTAATGTATTTAAAAGATTTTCATCTAAGTGCATCACAGGACAACGTCAAATACTAAAACGTGGCACGTGCATTTATTGCAAAATTCGTTCGTAAAGAGGAAATGTGATAATTTTAAAAATTTGAAAATCTTGGAACGTAACGGTTTTTTGTTGTGTATCGGGTAACGGTGATATATGAGGAATGAAACATAGTCACTCTCACCCTCTAATAAATGAGACATTTATTTTATGATACTGAAAACCAATAATAAACAAATTAAAGGTTTCAATTGTAGAACAGTTGTTAAATTCGTATCGGTTTCAACAAAAGTAGCATTTGGGTTGTTTTTGCTTACGTCCTAAATTAACAGCTATGATCTTTAAAGGACGTGTCAAGTTTTGGTGGAGGAGACAAAATACTTTTTTTTATTTATTTTTTATAAATGCTGATAAATAATATTTTTGTCGTAAAAATAAATTGTAGAAATTGATATCCAAGAATGAATTTCACCCGTAAATAGATAAATATCTGTTAACGGAAAAAATCTCGCGACGGATACGCATGTCAACACCAAATGTACAAAAAACTGAAAAGTTTAAATTAATATATAAATAATTACATCTAAAAGGTATCAATTAATGCATACATTTATATGTTTATAATTTCTATACGAATTTATCATTTAAAACAGATATCTGGTAACTGCACTATGCCTATGTGATCGTTTATATACTCGGTACAAACAGGTGCATCAGAAGAGGTAGAAATACATTTATTTATACATTATATATATACATCATGCAATAAATTGGTTTCACTGCCGAATTCCGCGTTTCCTGGCCCGTATCGTTGTGTGTGATGGTTACTGTGCGTGTCCCCGTACAGTTATCCAAGCCGCTAATGCCGACTAATAGCCGTCAATGTTCTTGTTTAGTTCGTTTTGGTCGTACAAAGAGATTGCGTCCCACGAGCACCGAGTAATACCCGGAACGGGGCCGGTGCGTGTTGAGACTTAGTCCGGCTGGCTCCCTGGCATTACGTCATACGCCTTACAATATACAAGAGTCGTGAATTATTGAGGCTCTGAACGGGAATTTACAAACATAACTCATTTTTTTACATTTAAAAAATGTAGCATTTGAATAAAATAGGAATTCGACATCTGAATGACAAATATATTTTAGCTATTATCAAGTCAACAAAGAAAAGAAAATATATAATATATGCAATACAAGATCTAAACATATTATCAATTATGTATACTATTTGTTTCTCGAGCCTCAATAAATTATACGGCCTATATTGGTTGGATCGACCTTTTGCTCAATACGAATTAAAGTTTCTATTTTATTTAACTGTGATCAAAGGTTCGGCTGAAGAGGTACCGGGTCCTGAGTGACAACTTGAGCATCGGATCACAGTGGTGGGACTTGTTTGTTTGTCTGGGGGTTACCGATACATTTACTCTGAATGAGCCAGTTTTTGTATTTCTCTCAATATGACCACTAGAGTGTCACTCCACGCTCTTCTGTGCCGAGTACGACAACGACTGGTGTATCGGTTTGATGATCAAAGGGAGATAATCAGAAGGCGGAACTTGGAAGAGAACCTAGCTTATCACTCTAATAGGTTATGCAATTGAAGAATTTTAGCTTCACATAGATATAATTTTAAGTTTTGTATACAATTTTAAAGGGTAAACATACATTAAGTTATTATTTTATCACAAATATAGTAAATTGTCATTAAATCAGGTCTGAAATTTAAAAACTAAATTTAACTAATCTAAGCACGAAATTAAATAACTTTGTGAAGAACATGTACCGTAAATAGAAATCATACGTGAAAATTAATGAAATAAAACGTGTGAGTGATATTTTCAATCGTAAGTTGTTGGGTGTTCCCCAGCGAGGCAACATAAGCGCGAATTATTTCGTTTTTTAAATAGTTTGTCAGAATATCTAGAGTGACCAAACCTTGACCAACCAACCCTCCAGCGTCCATTGATTGTTTGATATATGTCGATAATATTGTTCTATTGTCCCCTTGTGCCATTGGTATGCAAAATAAGCTGGAAATATTGTGATGACTGGTACCTTATAGTACATGTAATCAAAACGAAGGTTTCGATGTACAATGTGCTGTGGAATATGTCCACCAGTACAAGCGTCTATTTGTAATATTTTCTTCCACTGTGTGTTTTGCTGCTGTCAGGGTTAAGGCTAGAAAGGCATATTTTAAGTTCAGAAAATATTTCCTCTTATTTAATCCCTCGATGAGAACTAGCCTTAGCATTTTTATCACACTAAGAATCGTGTAATGTTTAAATTGTCCAAAGCGTGTGGATACTGTTTCAATACTACTGCAATGTTTACTGGTATATGTATTTGGCGATAAACGAGAATAAACGCTCTCTAAAACAATTTTGCCTTGGAATCAATATCAGCCATTGAGGCTTCCGGTCGATGGCTGATACGGAGTAGGATGTGGAAATTGTCAATCATGTACAGGTCTAATAACATCTTAGCAATAACAAGTTTAAACACACATTCTACCCTGAATAAATGCAATAAACAAAACAGCAAACGCCGATTGACATACAGTGTGTACTTACATTGTACTTGTTTGATATGTGATATTTCAGGAGGTGTTGAACCGGATGTCAAATGGATATGGTGCGTGCCGGGTAGACATAGGCTGCCTATGCAGACGTAGTAGTACTACACATGTAAACAACCCATATCAAGGACAGGTATATAATAAATTATTAATCAAGCGGACGTATTAACAAACTTCGTAGATCAGTAAAAATACGCATAATGGAGACGAGTCCATATCAAAATTCTCCACGATAGTCGTTTTTTAAGGTTCAACAATAAAAATATTAACGAAAACTATTTTTTTATACAATATGTATTGTGCAAAAAAGGAAGAATACCAGGGAAGATTTAGTTCCAACCTGTAGCATGAAATACTCAAACTTATAAGTCCTAGAATGGTACCTATCAATGTTGATGAATAATGAAGGCAGAACTATTACATGTATACACTTTCTAGCAACATTTATTAGTTTACATCAAAATGAATACAACTTAAGCCCGATTAAGGGACAATGCTACTGTATTGTGAGATTTGGGGTGGTATATCGTTATTATTCTGGCGCATTTAGAGTTTTACTTGCGACGCAGAGCCAGTAAAACGGATATCTGCAATACTAATCACTATATACCGTATTTGTATCAGCTAAAATGAGTTTTTTGGCGTTTCTTTACAATTTAGGTAACTCTGCCGCGGATTGGTGACGTCAGATCCAAGGATCAAGAAACAATTCTTAGTCTAAAATTGCCTTAAAGTTTATAAAACACATCGGTGAGCAAGAAAAGCAATGTTTCTGTACTGCAGAAACGAGCACTCTGCAGAGCAAGCCTTTTGTGATAGTACGTTTGCAACATGTAACACAAAATGACCTTGTGTGTGAGTCGACACCTGTAAAGGCCATTGGAACGTGTACTATAAATAGCTAATAAGTAACAGATGATTCGGGGAGGACCTTCTCTGTACCACTTGGTGCAAGTTACGTTCAGTGCTGTGAAAAAGCACGGAATTAGATTAGTTATCTAGGTCCGTGTAAAAGTAACCACTTTCAGGCGATGTGAGAACTCTCCTGCTGCGGGAGGTCGTAAGTTTGAACCTCAGTTCAAGTTCAAATTCGAATGTGTGTCCTGGGGTCTTGTCTAGGATTGATAAAAGTTCGAAAAAAAATATATGGTAGCTGGTTTGTGACATTTCGTTGATATTGTGGAGGGGGCGGACAGGGGGGCGGGAGACCGGGAATTAGGGGGCGGGACACAGGAGCTAGGGGGAGGGAACCAGGAGTTAGGGGGGCGGAAACCGGGAGTTAGGGGGCCGGGAGGTGGGACGTAAGGGGGCGGGAGAATCAGTAGCATACTTAAACAAAATGATGTGCTAAAAGCAACCAACACGCTTATATTACGTTAATAATGTAAAAATTAGAATGTCAATGCTCCTTCCGTAAATCAAGTCCGATTCGCGACCAATTATTAGGTCTAAACGTGCATTCGGAAGTCTTCGGCGATCTTCGGCGATTTTGGCGACCTTCGACTTTGGCAACAACAACATGGCTGATAAAGTTGTTAGCGCGAGGGTACACATTTTCAAAAAAGGAAATGATGTTGCCCTGGACAATTACTATATTTATGTGACTCATCGCATCGACAGCGAGTTTTCTGATGACCTCAGGGAACTTAAAAAGGAGCATCGGTTTGGTGAACGTTGCCTCAAACGAGGTGTTCAAAAGTTTGAGATGGAATTATCCGTTTTTGAACGAGATGTGAAGAGAATGGTTGTGGTGGAGAACCACCAGGCATGGACGTATGCGTCCAATCTGATAACAGCAGGCAAAGCCGACCTCCACAGTACGTTAAATTAAAGTATATGACCTAAAGCTCTAAAGCATGCAGGCCCGTTGCCCCAACTCATCCACCCTACCCATACCGTTTCCTCTATAGGACTCACCATATGTGTTGAAATCAAAACACGTATGGTTAAACTTACATTTTACGTTTCAGTAAAACTCTTCGATGCTGAACTTGTCGGTTCACCAAATTGCCTAGTATTAACCCATTGCAAGACAGAAGGCGAAACACCCAATACTGAACCACCAGCTAATGAACCACCAGCGAAGATAAGAAAACGGTAAAAAGCATATAGGCCTATAATTTTACAATCTAATTTGTTTTGTTGCACTGGGAATCATAAGCGCAACAAATGGTATGCACTACTAGTTGTTGTTACACTAGGGGGTGCGACCCATATTGTAACTAATTGTTACACTAACGTATGTTGGGTACATGTATTTTCATTTGATTACAAAACTGGTTCACATAGATAATTCCAGTGAATATATTTTTATTTTTTAAGCATGACATTTTTATCACTGCATACATTCATTTTCTTACAGTATTTTTGTTCTGACCCGAAAAAAGGAGGGGGGGGGACCCCTCCCCTGTATTCGCCCATGTATTTCAGTTAAGTTTTTGTAAATACATCATATTAGACCTATTTTACATATATAATGTCGTAGTATTTGTTGTAGCACCAGTCATACCAAACACAAACCGGAGACCAGAGCAAAACTCGACCTATATCAGAAAGTGAAAGATGCTAGGAAATCGAAGGAAGATGTGAACAGGACTGATACAGAAATAAAGCTCATGGAACAATTTGTAACAGGTATGTTTACTTTTGAAGCTTTTTACCTTATTAAGTAATTAACATACCAGAAGACGTACAGGTATATGATAAAATAAGTGGTATATTTCAGCTTTAGTTCAGTAACTGTGTGCCAGGTTGTGTATATACAGTTAAAGTATGGGCTTGAGGGATAGAGCTAGGTTCTGAAGCATTTCCGGAGGAGTTACGGAAAAAGCCGAATCAGTGGTGTTTTAGCTTCAAGGACCCCTAACCGGGTGTCAGCTCGAGGGCTAACACCCGGGACTGGGCATATCGGGGATATAGCAAATTTATCGACTTATTTTTAGAGAGTATTCTGAGTAAAGGTATATTATTAAAATATGCTATACATGTAAGCGAAACAAATGATAGACTGAAAATGCAACAGTGAACGTGTACGAGTCTCTTCTTCTTTTTTGTATATTGCACACGTAACATAGTCGGTTGTTTGCAGATATCAACGACTTGGATGATTGCGTCGCCATAGATGAACTCACTATTCGGTGTGGAATATGCCACCGAGATGTCGCACTAAATAAAGTGGGGCAAGAGGATACTTCGTGAAAAGTAAGTAAAGTTAAAGAGGAAGATAATACGTGATTGATCATGAGTAGTAAACATAGAAAACCATACACTTCCAGTACTTACAAATTTTGCTAATTAGAATAGATATTTTAGTAGTCTCAAATATCTAAATCAAAATTATAAAAACAAATACTGATATTTCTTCTTGGGAGTTAAATTAGCTAATCTAAAGCACACGACATTTTTCGTATGCACTCATGTTTAACATGCTATTCTTGTGAAGCCATTATTTAAATTGTTGATATAAATTTTTTCTTCAGGTCATTATACGGATGCAGCCAACCCTGGATAAGTACACAGTCAGGAAGGACGTGGTAGAGAAGAGCGCAGTTGAAGAAGAAGAAGAAAAGTAAATGCTATATTCATATGCTATAATGTCCTGAAGGATCCGATATAAGCCGGCTTTAAAAAAACCTTTTTCAGTATTTATTGGGTTTTAGTCGTTGTGTAAAATTGACTTAAAGTAAAATAAAGGAAAATGTGGCATTAAGACGGATTTTGTTATTATTGTAGGATTGATGACAAACCTGGCTGTCGTGAAAATGTCGACGCATACCCCTGTACAGCAACTACTCAACACTTCGGTCATGACATTGTTGCATGCCATCTTCCAATTGGTATATTACCATGTTTGCCATTTTCAGTGGCTTCACCCGAGTTGCCTGTATCAAGTTGTTCATTGCCAGACACTTCTCGACCGTCGTTGTTTGAACAGACCGACATTGAAATAATGGACACGGAACAAAAGCAAACACATTTGCCATCAGAGGCAGACATAGAAACTGTGTGTAGAACTTATTTGGTGCATGATATGAATGTTGAAGATACCGACAGTGACTCGTGTAGTGATTACGAGTCGGTAGAACACAACTTACAAACACAACACAGTCCTCTTTTGCCAAAACAGATGTATGATCCAATGTTCGATTCAGGTTATCAAAGATAGTGTTTGCCGATGACGTCGCTCAAAAACTCGATTATTTGTTAGGTGAGGGAATTGTACCAGAAAATAGCCTGTACTACTGTTTGATGAAAAACATTAACAATTGTATATTCCACTACACTGTCCAGCACAAAGACGATGGAGTCAAATTCGAATGGGACCAAAACATCATTGATTGGTGCAGTTCGGTTCTCTACCTAGGTGGGAACAGAACTTACAACTTTCTCAGGGGACCCGGAAACTTTCAAAAAGGGAAGTAATGCAAGTTTGATGCCAGTCTTTTCAATCTCCCATTACCAGATGAAAGGACATGCCGAAGACACGCGCCGTCGTTTACAACAAAACCAGGCATTATTACAGAGCTACTAGTTCACTTTATACGGCTTTTGATCTCGAATTCTATCCCACCCATTGTGAATTGCGAGTCTTTAATCGTGTATGGCGTGTGCATGTCACGAGATGGAATTGGTCTAAAGCCTGAACTGTCATTTGACCCTTTTCGCAAGGTATTGGTTGGCACAGTGGAGGACATCGACTACGAGTATGTGGTTCAAAATCCCGTTCCGGATCCGGTGACTCTCAGGAAGAGTATTATTAAAGACGCAGACACTCTTGTGTTGACTGATCTCACAAACAACGTCAGCCTTCCTGTTGGTTTGGATTTCACTACACATTTTCAAACAGCTCATGAGGTGAAAAAGTTGATTGAAGATAGAGTATCCGAGGCACAATGTTGTTTGAACTGTGTCGAGAAACTACTGAAGTCTGGGCAAAACAGTATCTTACGTTTGACAGAGCTGAGCTGTAGTTCCCGGTGTACCAAATGTGAAGAGCAACGTGATGTATGTCCACAGTGTGTGCAGGATGGCCAACTCCATGCCGAACCACAACTTCGCTCGTGCCGACAATGCATATGTGACGGTGTAAAATGTCAACGCTTAGCGGTGTTAACAGTTATCCATGACTGTGAACAGAAAAATAAAACTGCTATGGAATTGATACTGGCGTCAAAAGAGCAAGACACTGTCAACAAAGAATTCCAAGTGACAACTGTAGGACCAGACGCAGTCCACATAGGGAAATGCCTGCTCGGAAGCCTTTCAAATTGGTGGTTGATTGTTGACAATTTTCGAATTAGTCTAGTCTTCAGAGGATGCTACGAAACAATCCAAGTTCAGAAATCGGGAGACAAATACGTGAGTGTGTTGCATTAGACTCTGTGCAGCGGAAGGACCGACAGTCAACCGAAGCAGTTGCTGAAGTGTGCAGTCCCAGGTTGATTGCTATCCTGTCCGACCATGACCCAGCAGAGCGTGTAGTTTGCACAATCATCCCAGAAACATTTCGCAAATGTGAAGAAAACAAAATTGGCTGTTTGGAAGAACCTGTTTCCATATGTATGTCGGGGGATCCTTCAGTGTATCTGGTTGTAGACAGAAAGGGAAAGCTTCTCTCAGTCCGGCTTCACTACCCAGCGGAAATCAAAGTTCTAGCACAAAAGCTCACGTGTCCCGTCGCCGTAGAAGTGATTGACGACGTAGCAATAGTGGCAGAACAAGGACAAGGAGGGAGACTGTGCTACGTCGACTGGAGGAAAAAGTTGCCGCTTTCCCTAATCTCAGCACGTAAAGCAACACTATTCGAAATAGCGAGTCAGTTGGAGATAACAAACCACCAAACAATGACGGCAGCTGAACTGCGGAGTAGGATCAAGGATGCACTTCCAAAAGATACATCAACCAACCAGACTGTCAACACCTTGGACTGCGGTGTTGAAATAGAGCGACCAACAGCACTTTCCAAGGCAGGGGATGATATGCTTCAGATCTTGGAACAAAATCTGTCTTGCAAATAGGGATCGACCGGAAAGTTTCCACAACGAAGGCGTGTTTTACTTTGGAGGGTACGTGTCTGTCACGGGTTCGTATTGGCAACATGTCAACGTGCTATGGTTTGACATACAGAACAGGTTTTGCATTTGTGGCTGATCATTCCGCCGGGATCTTACGAGTTGATCTAGAGTCGCACGACATAACTGTGATAGTGAGAAGTGGCGGATGCTATAGACCACACGGAATTGCCCTTATTGACAACGACATCATTTTCACTAATGTGCAGCAGCCAAATGTTTGCTGTGTTCAGGATGGCTACACTTACCACGAGGAAACACCACAGCCTCTTTCAATTGTAAAACTTGCAGGTTCAGTGTCACCTGGAAACATCGACGGAATTGGCAAAGATGCCCACTTCACGCAACCAACGGGTATATGTAGTGAAGGGATCACGCTTCTTGTGTTAGATTCCGGATATCGCTCGCTCAGAATCTTAACCTCCTTACATCCTCTTTGCATGTACCTGACAAACATTCAGAAGATCTACGGTGCGTTTTCCGTCCATACTGACATTGTTGGCCAAGGCACCAGTACAGTTCTGGGAGTAGCTATCGACGACTTGAGGGTAGTTGAACGTTCCCTACTTCCATGGCACAGGAGGCCAAACAGCTGTTAGAAATACATACAAACACATTGCAAGGTCCACATGGAGTACCTGCATCAAAGACTGTCAAGTCAATACGGATGTTGCACGAGATGCTCTCGGATTTAAAGTCTGTCGTTGCTGGGGTTAACTCTTCGTTTCAAATGGACACAAACGCAATGTTGACATTGGACGAACACTTGCATAGTGTGCTCGGCTGAGGACAGAGACGCCGACTGTTTTAGACTGTGCCACGGACTTTACAAAGGCAGTAACAGAGGTGATCAAGCAGCAGACCTTGTGTGGGTACCACTACTTCACGTCAAAAAAACATAAGCAGTATGCAACGCCAACAGGGTTCCTGAAGTATGGAGATCTGCCAAAGATTAAACAGAAAAAACCCTATCAAGCTATCGCAGGATAAAATCAAAGTGCTGCTTCTGTTCAGAGAGACATTTGGGAAAGGTGTTCGACAAAGAAGTGTTCGTGCGGACACAACAAAATACAAAGCGGGGACACTTCCGCTGAATCTGTACGCGAAGGAGACAGTGTCAGGATCCACACTTAAGTTTGACGGCGACCCAGTTGAACTTATGGACAACAGTAACGTTGTCGTTACGGAACCTACACACCCAGGAGAAAAGTCTTCATTCGACGTGGGTGACATCCTTGTTCTTGATGTGGATGGGGCTGTAAATCTTCAACTGAGTGCTGTGAAATCGCAAGTGCTGTCCTCCGCAAATGTTTACCGCCTTGGAATATATGAGGAAGACCATGACCTTATATTCGTTCAAACTAAACAAGCACACATACCATCACATTGTGTAGTAGACATACTTGCCCCATCCGACTACAACATTAACAATGACACTATTACTCTAGGTGAGGAGACCTACAACAGACTAACTGCTGGCATAGAAGCAACAACCATAAATGAGGAGGTACATGCACTACACCAGGAAGAGGAGAGGACATTGTTCACCACACGAACAAAACGGGGGAGAAATGTGACTGCTCCCAAGCGAATGACTGATTATTTCTATTTCTAAATGCCACAAACGAGAAACATTAAAACAAGTGGTAGGCCATTAAATGTCATATTGTGTAGCATTGACTTGGTCAGAGAAAGGACCGGCAGTTAACTGAACCTAGTGGGGTCATCTCGCTAATCCAATAATAAGGCATATTATACTACGCTTCGAAGTTATGGTGTTTCTAAAAAAAGGAAGTATATGAACTGAGTCTAGGATTTAGTGGGGTCATCTCGCTAATCAAACATAGACATCTAATATACCTACTAGACGATTAGTGTTTTTACCGTCTTTATGATGAAAGCGACAGTGATAAATATTATATTACAAAGGAAAGTAGATACGGCCTCGGATTTAGTGGGGTCAACTCGCTAATCCATATACTACAGGCATGGACTATATCCACTATATATCACTATCGTATTACGTTACCGTGTTTTTACAGTTTTTAACGAGCCATAATATTGCCAGAACAGCGTTAATATACAGACATTTTAAAAAACGATTTTTAATATTGCGCAAACCCTCAAAGTACATAAAGGATAAAATCATGAGGACGGTCCTACTAGCGGAAGCTATCCGATGACCGGAAATACAGTGGAACAGAACCAGTTGAGTAAACAACATCGGGGCGGGAGATATGGATAAGGGGGCGGGAATCGGGAGTTAGGGGGACGGGAACCGGGAGTTAGGGGGCGGGAACAGGGAGTCAGGGGGGCGGGAACCGGGAACTAGTGACCCCCCTGTCCGCCCCCTCATTGTGGGTCACAGTTTCCGACTATTTTGTCTATTCGCCTCATTTTACAACGCGAAAACTGAAATATTCGCCTTCGTCTTCGTTTTGTATCGCAAAAAATGGCAAATAATGTCAAATAAATGCCCACTTCAGCTTCAATGTAAATATTTGAAGATAAGCCACTAAAGAAAGTATTTTTTTAGAGAATCTTAACTAAGATGTTGATATACAGCTAGCTGTGATCAGATGAATTGTACTGTACTGTTAGTTTTAAATGGTTGGAATGGTGAAGATTAGGCTTAATTGTAGCATAAGCCACTC